TCCTCCCCCCCCCCCGCCACCAAAAGGAACAACCATATTGCGTGCTCTACCCCCCCCCCCCACAAGAGAAACCAGCATGTTTGTGCTCCCCCCCCCCCCCACAGAGAAAACAGCATGTATGTGTTACGCCCTCCTCCACAGAGAAAAACAGCATGTATGTGTTACGCCCCCCTCCATAGAGAAAACAGCATGTGTGTGTCACGCCCCCCCCCCCACAGAGAAAACAGCATGTATGTGTTACGCGCCCCCCCACAAAGAAAACAGCATGTGTGTGTTACGCCTGCAGGGTCGGCGCCACCTGGCTGTCGTGCAGGCAGACGGCTCTATAAAGGACGACAGAGGCAAGTGGCACCGGGCTCTGGAGCGCTGGCTGGAGGCCGTCCTCGGTAACAACATCCCCGTCAGCGCCACGTACGCCTGGGACAAGGTCAGACACATGGTGGCCTCCTCCATCAGTTTGTACGGTTCTGATCAAGCTCCTCCGCCCTCTCAAATGTGGCAGCACAAGTTTTCAACAAGCCTCAGAAGGCCCCACTGGCAGGGAGAGAACATGCATACTTCACACGGAGGCTCCAGCCAAGCTTTAATTCCTCCATCAGAACACATCCTGGAGGCACACTGTGGCACCAGGGAGCGTTCATTACTCATCACTAATCGTTAATCATTACTCATCACTAATCGTTAATCATTACTCATCACTAATCGTTAATCATTACTCTTCACTAATCGTTACTCATCACTAATCGTTACTGATCACTAATCATTACTCATCACTAATCGTTAATCGTTAATCATTACTCATCACTAATCGTTAATCATTCTCTTCACTAATCGTTACTCATCACTAATCGTTAATCATTACTCATCACTAATCGTTAATCATTACTCATCATTAATCATTACTCATCACTAATCGTTAATCATTACTCATCACTAATCGTTAATCATTACTCTTCACTAATCGTTACTCATCACTAATCGTTAATCATTACTCATCACTAATCGTTACTGATCACTCATCACTTATCGTTAATCATTACTCATTACTCATCACTAATCGTTAATCATTACTCATCATTAATCATTACTCATCACTAATCGTTAATCATTACTCATCACTAATCGTTAATCATTACTTGTCACTAATCGTTACTTATCACTAATCATTACTCATCACTAATCGTTAATCATTACTCATCACTAATCGTTAATCATTACTCATCATTAATCATTACTCATCACTAATCGTTAATCATTACTCATCACTAATCGTTACTGATCACTAATCATTACTCATCACTAATCGTTAATCATTACTCATCACTAATCGTTAATCATTACTCATCACTACTACTCATTGCTAACTAATCGTTAATCATTACTCATCACTAATCGTTACTGATCACTAATCATTAATCATCACTAATCGCTAATCATTACTCATCACTAATCATTAATCATTACTCATCGCTAATCATTACTCATCACTCATCGTTAATCATTACTCATCACTAATCGTTAATCATTACTCGTCACTAATCGTTACTCATCACTAATCGTTACTGATCACTAATCATTACTCATCACTAATCGTTAATCATTACTCATCATTAATCATTACTCATCACTAATCGCTAATCATTACTCATCACTAATCGTTAATCATTACTCATCACTAATCGTTAATCATTACTTGTCACTAATCGTTACTCATCACTAATCATTACTCATCACTAATCGTTAATCATTACTCATCACTAATCGTTAATCATTACTCATCACTAATCGTTAATCATCACTAATCGTTAATCATTACTCATCACTAATCGTTAATCATTACTCATCATTAATCATTACTCATCACTAATCGTTAATCATTACTCATCACTAATCGTTAATCATTACTCATCACTAATCGTTACTCATCACTAATCGTTAATCATTACTCATCACTAATCGCTAATCATGACTCATCACTAATCGTTACTCATCACTCATCATTAAATCATTACTCAGCACTCATCGTTAATCATTACTCCTCGCTAATCGTGACTGATCACTAATCAGTACTCATCACTAATCATTACTCATCACTCATCGCTAATCATTACTCATCACTAATCGTTAATCATTACTCATCACTAATCGTTAATCATTACTCATCACTAATCGTTAATCATTACTCATCACTAATCGTTAATCATTACTCATCATTAATCATTACTCATCACTAATCGTTAATCATCATTAATCATTACTCATCACTAATCGTTAATCATTACTCATCATTAATCATTACTCATCACTAATCGTTAATCATTACTCATCACTGATCACTAATCATTACCCATCACTCTGAGGGTTCTGGTCTTTAGAGCGTAGGGGTGGGGTTCAGATAGATAGAAGGGTTCGATTTCTCTCTAGAACGATTCGGTCTCGATTGGGTAACCGTAGTGGAGCGTAGATGACAACCAGCTACAAGCATCATTTACCATCATTACCGGCACGTTAAGAGCAACGCGTCCAGCTGGCAGACCGGTCCGTCAGTCTGAATCTGAATATCTAATAACTTTAGCGAACTATGGAGGAGCCTGCGCACATCTTACCTCATTATTTCCATTTTCCAAAAAGTCGATCCGTATTGACAGTTGGCAAGATATTCACAGATTTTGACTTTTTTCTGGTATTTTACAAATACGGACCGGTCTGAGACTAAGAGCAGCTTTTTCGTCATTTAAAAGAAAAATGAATCTGTGTAATATTTTTTTACATAGGCTACTTCCATATTGTGTTGAAATGCAAGCTGCATTGGTTCTTGCGTTGTTGATAGAAAATCAAATTTATGATTTAAGATTTTTTTTTCTCTTATAAAAAAACTCACTCAGATTTGAGAAAATTTAGAAAATCGAGATGCATCGATAATCGTTTTATCAGTTTAGAATCGATAATCGGTTTAGAAGCATTAATCGGTTTAGAATCGATAATCGGTTTAGAATCGATAATCGGTTTAGAAGCATTAATCGGTTTAGAATCGGATCGTTGACCTCTGAATCGGAATCGAATGGAATCGTGAGGTGCCAAGAGATTCCCCCCCTAGTAGAGCGGGTCCAGGGACAGACTGCCACGTTGTTCTAGTCACAGTAGGATAAACACAAGGACACCAGCGTATCCTGTTACACATATTTGCCTGATATGAAAGTAAAAAGGGGCCAACCTGCCTGAGCTGATAGAGGTCAGTCTGTGCCCAAAGGAGCAGCTTAGACAGTTTTTCACAATAAAAGCCCCTCTTCATTCCCCCACCTGCCCGGCTGCTATTAAACCCCTTTTCTCATAAATCCATCTCATCTGTTATTGTTGCTTCATGCAGCAGCAGATGGCGTCTTTTATTGAGACAGTTATGCTTATGATGATTACAACACATTTTCTTCTTACAGCAAAAGTCCCGTTACTTTGTCATTTCAAATATTTGATTATGAAGCACCAAAAGTAAAAAGTTGAGTGAGTGAAGCACATGGTACCAAAAGCTGCCTTTTCTGTGTCATTGTGTGTAAGTGGTGGAGCCAGTCGTGGATGTGGTTTCCTGCCTGCCAGTAGGGGCTCCGCATTAGGCCGTAAACGCCCCCTCCCCCATCTCTCCCGTCTCATTATGAAGATCAAATATATAGCAGAGGGACATCGGATCGGGCCGCTCAGGTTCCACGTATGCCACTCTTTAATAAGTCATGGCTCCCTGGTCACCTCCATCCTTTGCTCGCTCAGGTGACGCTCGCCGACAAACCGCTGTCTCACTACGCCCTGAACGTGCAGGCAGAGGGAGACCGACCGCAGAGCCGTCCCCAGGTGGACGTCCCACGCGGGCCGGCCGTGCCTTCTCCGGAGGAGCTGACCACAGGTCTGTCGCCCCCCCCCCCACGTCACATGCACCCTGCCTGAGCAGAGGACAGACCAGCGCCCACTCAAGCTGTCGATGACCTCCCACCTGGAGGGTTCATCCAAGAACAGCCTCATTAAAGGGAGTGTGAGACATGAAGGGGCTTCATGCGCCGCTGCTGGATACAATATTCATAACCTATGGTTTAATCAGCATGTAATCACAACTAATTACCCTTCATCGGGGGGAGGGGGGGGCTTTAAATGAACTGCCCATGGGCTTTCCTTGATGCATTTGTATCTTGTGCAGAGGCAGCCGGCCTGAGGCGTCTGATGGGAATCAAGAGCATCCGTCTGGTGGGCGACGCGGAGCTGCTGCCCAATGCTGTCATGGAGCGCTACTGGGAGAAGCTCATGGAGATGGACGCTCTGGAGTGTGAGGACTGGAGCCACAACAGTTGGTTTGACTCTTTAACGTGGTGAATGAACTCATTGTTGGTGGGATGTGATGACAATTGTACTGGTTTCTTTTAATGTTGTGCTTTCTTTAACATTTCAATGAACTAAAATAATAAAGATGCATTGTGTATAAAGGCTGTGTGGTTAAATGCTGGAGCTGCAGGGTTGGTACAAAGGCTAGAATGTTGCTCCTTAGTTTTTTACACACGTTTCTTAAAACAATAACTGCTTTCTCAAACCTGAAATCAGAAAACGTGTCACACAATCCTAAACTCTGCCATTGCAGCACGACTCTGCCATCCAATCACTTCCCTTTTATTTAGAACAGACATATTTCCAAATGACACTCTCACCATTCACTGAGTACACACAACTACACATTTACAGCACACTGAAGTTCAACATTGGAAACACAATCCTAGAAATGGGACCCACCATATGAATGACGATGACTGGAGAATGAGCATGTCACCGTTTGTAAAATGCCTTCACAAGAATGAATCAGGCTCAACATTGTACTGCACAAAAGTCCTGGATGTTTACAGATGTTTGTGTGTCGTAGGTCGATGATTTGGGAATTTACTTGAAGTTTGTGCAACAACTGAACATTGTGAGAAGTAATATATTAGTTCAGCCTCCTGCGACAATCTGCGCTCAGACTGACATTACGGTAAGAACTGACTTCAAAATAAGAGCACTTCCGCTGAACGTGGCAAACTCATTGAATAAGTGTAAATCCTATATAAATCTAATAAAAAACAGGTTGCAATATATAGGAAAAAGTCTGTAAATGACAATGTGATTTCAATTTTATAATTACTTATTCAAATACATTTATAAATAATTAATTTACACAGACCAGAAAATATCAGGGAATTCTTATGTAGCATAGGAAACTTTAAGATGTCATACATGAGCCAACTTCCTTCAATCTCATGAGTCTAGTACATTTTCGGATGGCATTTATAAGGAAACATAATAATTCCACTTCAGGTTGATGGTAAACATCCCCACGATGTCATATGTATGTTTATTGCGTTTAGGGGAAAAACACATGTTGCCCCAAGTTTTCCATATAGGGACTGTTACGGGCGGTCGGACACCAGCCTGAACATAAAGGCGAGACACACGCAAACCGGCTCGTATCAAAATAAGCTAGATATTAAAGGTATCTTAACAACAAAATACAAATGTGGAACGTTCTCACTGGCGGGTGGACGGCTGAACGGTGATCTTGGCAGCAGCAAGCACCGTTGTGCAGACTCTCAAGGATCTGTGTGGCCCCCCAGAACGGTCCAGGAAGCCTTTGTAGCACCAACACAGGTTCTGCTCAGGTGTGGCTCATCTGTAATCAGGACACTGCCTGCACCCAAACACGTGTAGCAACAAACACCACAGCTGGGGGACGGAACAAGGACACTGTTTGGTTTAATCTGCAATTGGCTAAAGTGCTTCTTTGACCCGCCTTCTTTTAGCAAACTTAAGACTGCTCAAACGCACAAAGACGATGTATCTATGAGAGAGGGAATCACAACAAAACATACAGCTTCAGCGACTGACATCCACCTTGTGCTGGTCTGCAAAGATGGGGAGGTTACTGGTGTCTCAGGGAAAGGACTATGTCCACTTACTTCTTCTCTTTAAACTCAAAAGCTCTGACAAGTTTTAGAACTTGAACTTAACTTGTTCACTTTAAACATAGTTAAACGCCTTGTGTTGACTTCTTTGATATTTGTTTGTGTTGATTGAACTTTGCTCTTTAAGTTGTCAGTAGAAACAGAAGATTGGTGAGGGGATAAAAAAATGCTTTCATGCTTCGGTTTTAGGGAAACTGCCTTTTTTAAGCTGGGGTGACGGGGGCGCGTGGAGTAGAGCAGGGCAATGTTGGCGGTTCAGACCCCGGCTACATGTCCCATGTTGAAGTGTCCCTGAGCAAGACAATCTGGATGACTCTGTAGCTACTGATACGTTACATGTCATTCAGCTGACGCCTTTATCCAAGAGACATTTTGAGAGGCTTGAATTTGGAAATGGTCCATCAGAGTGTCCTGAATATCACAGAGTCAAACCCTGGGGAAGTGTACTATCAACCTGAAGTGGAAATAGTATGTTGTTGTTTGCTATCAAATATAAACTAAAATGTGAGGTGAATTGGCTCATGTCAGAGCTTTTGAAGGGCTTTCATTTTGGAATTATTGTCCTGAGCTGCAATTCTATCAACGTAAAGTGAAATCATTACGTATCCACCATTTCCTTTCAAATCTTATCTGAAATTCAGCAGAATTTGGTTCATGAATTAGATTTTGGAGGGCCTTAAATGGTAGATAAGAATATCTTTATATAATAAATGTGTATATATATATATTTGAATAAGTAAATTAAACAATTGAAATTACATTTTTCCGCCAATAGTTTGCATGCAGTAATTATTATTTGTAGACTGTACATAGACATTTTGTATCTATGTCCCAGTCTTTTAATGTATTATCAGATTTGTATATGATTTACAGACTTATTGAAAGCGTCTGACACGTTCAGTGGAAGTGCTCTTATTTTGAAGTCAGTTCTCACACTACCGTAATCTCTAGTATACACCGGCAGCGTGCGGGCGGGCGAGCGGGACTGTGGTTATCGAAGCGGAGCCTGGCTTGAGCGCACCAGTGGGCGGGCACTTCAGCGCACACACGCACACACACACACACACACACACACACGCACACACACAGCGGTCCAATAAAATAATATAAAGTTATGACACATGTGTCACTAAACGAGGAGCCGCGAGGACGCTGCTCAGCCCTCTAACAGGAGACACGTTACCGGAGGCTCTCCGGTGTTGTACCACGTGATGCGCCTCGCGTAACTTCTGCCGGAGAGACGCAGCTTCCCCCCGCGTAACGACGTCTATGAGTCAGTCGACTTTCGTAACTTCAGAAGAAGCGCAAGTCGCCGCGCGGAGCCGCGAGAACCTTCAGACGGAGGTAAGTTCCTACCGACACGCGAGGGGGGGTCAGATGTGGAAGCAGAGGACCAGCGAGCTAACGGTGCTACGTGGTTCACCACCCTGAGAGGGAGATAACTACACGCGTATTACAATGCTTTCACCCGTTTGCCCAGGATGACCAGAAGATGCGTCCACCACGCTCGACACAGGTGCTTCCTGTTGTCTCTGTCTCTGCTGGCCGTCTGCCTGCTCAAGCTGGTCCACGTCAAGGTGACGCTGAGGGACGGCATCTACTACGACGTGGCGGGCGGCTTCTCGGAAACGACCGGGGCGCAAGCGTACGACATCAACTGCACCGGCGTCTACGAGCTGGACCCCGGTGGAGGTGGGCAAGGCTCTCGCCATCAAACGCAAGGTCACGGTCAAACGTGGACGACGACGGCACGGTGGCCTTGACCTCGGACTGCCAGACGTTCGTCACAGCGAGGGGTTACGGGGGGGTCCCGGTGTCGGAGGCGGAGCGGGGATTCCCGCTGGCTTACTCCATGGTGGTGCACAAGAACGCGCCCATGGTGGAGCGCATCCTTCACGCCATCTACGCCCCCCACAACGTCTACTGCATCCACTACGACCAGAAGTCCTCGCCGGCCTTCAGGAGAGCCGCTCAGAACCTGGCCCGCTGCCTGCCCAACGTGTTTATCGCCTCGAAATTGGAGTCGGTGGAGTACGCGCACATCAGCAGGCTCAACGCCGACCTCAACTGCCTCTCTGACCTGCTGAGGTCAGAGGTCAAGTGGAGGTATGTCATCAACCTGTGTGGCCAGGACTTCCCCCTCAAGTCGAACGGCGAGCTGGTGTCCGAGCTGAAGCAGCTGAACGGGAGCAACATGCTGGAGTCCAGCCGGCCCAGCAAACTCAAGAGACGGCGCTTCAGCTTCCGCCACGAGCTGAAGAACGTGCCCTACGAATACCGCCGCATTCCCGTCAAGACGGCCGCGCCCAAAGACGCCCCCCCGCACGGCATCGAGGTCTTCATCGGGAGCGCCTACTTTGTCCTGTCGCGCAATTTCGTGGAACACGTGAGCAGCAGCCGGGTGGCGAAGGACTTCCTGGCGTGGTCCGCCGACACGTACTCACCGGACGAACACTTCTGGGCCTCCCTGGTGCGGGTCCCCGGGGTGCCCGGCCACGTCGCCCGCTCGGAGGCCGACATCAGCGACCTGAGGAGTAAGACGCGCCTGGTCAAATGGAACTATTTGGAGGGGAACCTTTACCCGGCGTGCACGGGGGAACACATGCGCAGCGTCTGCATCTACGGCGCGGCCGAGCTCCGCTGGCTGCTGAACTACGGACACTGGTTCGCCAACAAGTTTGACCCCAGAGTGGACCCGGTGCTGATCAGGTGCTTGGAGGAGAAGCTGATGGAGAAACGGAAGTATGTGTGAAGCGGATCCGGGATCGGTTAAGTTATTAGGCCCCGCTGCCGGTTCAGCCCAGTCGCCATGTTGGCGCCAAGGTTTCTAGAACAAAACGGATGAAGGTTGTTTTGCACTCGGCCCGAGTGGCAGAATATATGCTGAGTGTGGAAGGTTCTGGTGTATAATGATCAGAGGGAGACCAGTGTGAACTGTTATTATCCATTGCTATGTTATATTTTATTTAGACATGCTAAAATGTTAAAATAAGGTGTGGAAATACTTTATAACACCCGATGGCGTCATCGGTGTATTTAGCAGCACAGAGGACAACATGCAGGGTTTTTATCAGCGGTTACAAAGAACGTATTAAAACATCACTCTGCACCTTTCAACGGCTGCTCGAGGCATCTGATCCCCCAAAAGTGCCTTTGTTATTTTAGGGCTACTACATGATATCCAATCTGAACACGGCACCCGAGTTGCTCCTGAATATGGTTGAATGTGATTCGATGAGAGAAGTTCTGCTCAATGAAACGCTGCATGTTATAGATATGACTTGAAAACCTCGACAGTCAATATAGAAAGGTTGAAATTTCCCTGAATAAAAGTATGGTGCTTTTTAAGAGGTATTTGGATTCATGTGTGGTCTCAGTTCGCACCGTGGCTGGACCTCCTGACTCCTCCACCCAGCCCTCCACCCAGAAGCCGCTCTGAGAAAGTGTAAGGAAATGCTTTTCCCAGAAGAAACCCAGCAGTAAACTGCTCACAGCGATGTCACGTGTCTCCTGCATGCGTGTCACACACGTGCTGCCCTGAAATGGGCCGAGTGGCTTCAACGAGGGACGTCATGGTCACGGATGCTAACGATAGCAGGTTACATCACGCAGCAAAGGGATGCGGCTGTTGGGAATATCAATATTTCAGTCAGACATATAAAGCAAAGACTAACTTTATCACTAAAATGACAATATATTAACCATTTATGCATAGAGAACTTAACCTCCATCGTCCCCCCCAGTTGACCCCACGACCCCGTTCAAAGGCAGCAGCGGATGTCCACCATAGCAGATAAGTGGTGTATTACTAAACCCAAGTTGTAAATTGTAACCGTAACGTGGGAGAAAGCCTCCGATGCTCCGAACAAGGCAATCTGCTCCAGTGTCTCTGTTACATGTGTCGGGTCCCGGGACAGATCGGAAGGTCCTCTGAGGACAACTTGGGACTTTGGTCTAAACAAATTGAATTGGAATGATCATGACTAGTGGCAAACACGCCAAACACGAGAATAA